TCAAGTTCCTGACGCTGTGACTTACTCCAGCTGGCTTCTGGTCAGGGTTCCATCACGGCAGCAGAAAGGCAACCTAGAATAGGTCTCTCACTGATATCCTAAGCTCTGCTCAACTGCTTGCCCAGTGCACTTCCCAGGGTCTGCCTATCTTGCCTGTGCTGGGACTACCGCTGCCGTGAGCAGCTTTCTTTGTGGGTGCTGGGGAACTGAACTCCCCGGGTTCTCCTACTTGCACTTGCTCTTTTCCCACTGAGTCATCGCCCAGGCCATGGTTCAGGTTCTTGCTCCCTTTGGTAAACTCTCCCCTCCCAGGATGATACCACCTTTCCACAGTTGCTCTGCTTAAGAACCAGGGCATCCCTTAGCCACGCCCACATCTCAGTATGTAGTCTTTTCGTTAAGCTCTTTTGTAATGAAATGTTTATTTGCTCCTCAGAGAAGTAACTGAATTTATGATTTTAAAAGTGTTCAATCGGGGCTGGAGAGATGGCTCAGAGGTTAAGAGCACTGACTGCTCTTGCAGAGGTTCTGAGTTCAATTCCCAGCAACCACATGGTGACTTACAACCATCTGTTATGAGATCTGGTACCCTCTTCTGGTGTGCAGATATACATGGAAGCAGAATGTTGTATACATAATAAATAAATAAAATCATTTAAAAAAGTGTTCAATCAATAATAAACATTGTACATTTTGAATGAATAGTTTAGTGGGCTTTGACAAATGTCCACACCCATGTGATCACCACTGTCCTCAGAAGAGGGGACATACTTCTGGCCTGTGTTCCTACACCTCAGAGGCAACTATGGTGTAGGGGGTAGTTTGGAGGTTTTTCCTAGGGAGGCATGAGCAGACATCTATTTACCCCAGATGGGACATTACTGACAGATCAAAGAAAAACCTCCGCCCAAGTCTAGCTTGGTGAACCAGGGAGTTCATCTGGGCGTCTAACTGAAGCATGAGTCACCCAACCACAGCTGAACCCCAGAAAGGCTCAACCCAGCATGAGTGATAACCCTCCTGCTCAACTGGCAGGCCACTCCCCCGAAGAATCTTCTCTCCCCAGCAACTGCTTCCTGCTCATAAAATATTTGCTTAAGTGGGACCTTGGGACCTCTGGGAGTTTCTTGGTTGGTTTAAGTTTCTGGAGCTCAGGATCCTTCCTCCCTCTGAAGGCGATGGCTCCATTGCAGGAAGTGGCTACCCAGTACAACAGGCCTCTCTCTCATCTCTGATTTCTTTTTTAACAAAAGTTATCTTCCTTCCTTCCTTCCTTCCTTCCTTCCTTCCTTCCTTCCTTCCTTCTTTCCTCCCTTCCTTCCTTTCCTTCAACAGCCCTGACTGTCCTGGAGTTCACTATATAGACCAGGCTGGCCTTGTATTTTTCTTTTCTGAATCAAATTTCCTATCAATGGAATCATATGGCATGAACCTTTTTGCATTAGGCTTTTCTTGGCTTTATTTATTTATCTATTTATTTATTTTATGGGGTGTGTGTGTGTGTGTGTGTGTGTGTGTGTGTGTGTGTGTGTGTCTTTTTTTTGTTTTGTTGGTGTTTGGTTGGTGTTTGTTGTTGTTGTTGTTTGGTTGGTTTGGTTTTTTTCTGTTTTGTTTTTGTTTTGTTTTTTGAGACAGGGTTTCTCTGTGTAGTCTTGGAGCCTGTCCTAGAACTCACTCTATATAACCAGGCTGGTCTCGAACTCACAGAGATCTGTCTGCCTCTGCCTTCTGAGTGCTGGGATTAAAGGTGTGGCCTCCACTGCCTAACCACATGTGTTTTGCTTTTAACATTTATTTATTTGTGGATGTGTTTGTCACAATTTGTGGGAGGACCAGTCGAGGGGTTCTCTCCTTCCACCATGTGGACTAGAGGGATTGAACTCAGGCTTCTTGGCAAGGGCCATATCCATTTGAGACATCCTGCTGGTCTGTTTTTATGTTATTTTTTGCAGGTTCAGGCTGGTCTTAATGTAGCTAAGAATGACCTCGAACTTCTGATCCTGGAGCCTCCTGGACTGAAGGTGTGCACAGCCACACCGGGTTGATGTGGTATTGGGGTTGAACCTGGAGCTTGGTGTGTGCCAGGCAAGCATCGGGCCCTTGAGTGACGTGGTTTGCTCCTCTCCTTGTGGACTGGTATTTCACTTGAACATGTGACCATTTCTCATTCTCTTCATCCACTGATGCTCTGAGTGGCGCAAAGGAGGGACCTATGAGCATTTTCGTACAAATCTTTTTGTGGCTGTCTGTTTTCATTTCTTTTGGATATACACTACAGTTCTTTCTGGGACACGAGGCAAGCATACACTCGTGGGGGACAGTTGGATGGTTTTCCCCGGTGCTTGCACAAATTATACCCCTAGAACATACCATTTCCCTGGGGTAGGACAGGCCAAGACAGACCCGGGCAAAGATAATGGTTAAAATGCCATCAGGGTTAGGTAGTCAGCTTCAAAATGACTTCTAGGATGTCAGTGGATACTGCCCTGAGATGGGTCTCTTGGCATCGCTCACAGGCACCTTCCAAGCCCTTCCTTCGTTTTCTGCGCTAAGCTTTCAATGTCTCCTCCAGTCCAGACATGTGAAATCTCACTCCCTAGGTTGCCCTGCCAACGATGAAACTGAAAGTAGCTAAGTAAATTCATTTAGACTTACATGTGAGTGATTGTCAGGCCTTGCTCCATCAACACCCTTAAGTACCTGTGTTTTAAATGTGAAACTTATTCATCTAAAGGAATTAACCACTGCTAGTAGCTTTTAAGGAGAAAGCTATCTTTTTAGTGTAGCCCAAAAATTACATGAGGGTTTGCAAGATGGTGTTGGCTTTTAAAGGTACTTGCCTTGGAACCTCATGACCTGAGTTCAATTCTCTAGACCCACATTGTGGAAGGAGACTCCTGCAAGTTGCCTTTTGACCTACACACACACACACACACACACACACACACACACACACACACACACACACAAAGATAATGAATTCATGTGAAGACCTAGGCTACAGCAGCAGGGTATAGGCAGGAGAGCTGTGGGTTTGAGGCCAATCTGGGCTACATAGTGAGTTCCAGAATAGCCTTGGCTCATATAATGTGAGCTGAAAAATACTATCTGTCCTAAGCCAGATGTGGATCCAAATCCCAATCCATACGTCCAAAAGAAAGCAAATTCTCCTAATGTCCATGTCCTAGCTTTCTATCTAGTGACAGTTATTTGAGGCTTAGCTGCAAATTCTCGTTCGATCTTACCTAAGCAGGTAACTTACCTAAGCAGGACTTTTCAATATATCAAACTATGGCATCGTTATCTTCTAGTACCAGGGCAGCCATATTGTGGGCACTTAACCCATGTATTGACTGGCACGTTAACACGGAACGGATTTGCAAACTGCAGACAGCCACTGGTGCTAAATTTAACAACGCGTTATTCATTATTGATTGAATAAATGAGATGGGGTCTTGCTATGTAGCACGTGCTGGCCCGGAATTGACAGCAATTCTCCTGCCTCAGTCTCCAAAATGCTAGCATTATGGGGATATGAGCCACCAGGCCAGGCAGCAGAGCTGGGTTTCTGAGCTCTCCAGGGAACCGATGTTGGGGAGACAGGACCCTGAGAACTGGAAGAGATAGCTGTTCCAGATGAGACCAAGAGTGTAGCTTCTCAGATCATCCCCACCCCACCTCACACCACCCCAATGTGAGAATTCCACGAGCTCCGGAGGTCACCCAGCTCTGACTAGGAAGGCCAAGGTGAGGAAGGAAGCGTTGCTTACATTAGATGCAAGCTCTCAACCTCCATGCCCGGAATGTGCTGGGATTACAAGCGATTGCACCACCCCCGGTTCTCTGCGGTACTGGGGACTAGAACCCAGGACTCTGTGCCTGCCAGGCAAGCACTCTGCCAACTGAGCTACATCTCCAGCCCCAAGATGGCCTTTTCCTAATGGAACGGAGCTCGTCGTCCTGAGGACCGAGGCTAGCAAATGAGCAGCTTCCCTTCTTCATTTAAAAAAGGTTCGTTTAACGAAGGTTCTGT